TTAAAAGTGTAACATAGTGTAATGTATTCCTCCTGAACTATGAACATGGGCATTTCCCCCACAATCTTAACAAAAGACGCAGGTATGGAAAACCTCAATGGAGGGGGAGAAAAGAGGTAACTATTGATCTTGATATATAAACAGGTACAACAGATCAACATATCCTGTGCAAGAGGCTTTAAAATTTTTATAATGTTTACCCTATAACAACTCTATGAAGTAGATCACCGTATTCCCATTTTGCAACAGATAAAAAAATATCTCTGAGGGCCAACAGCTGATTTATTTACTGTGTTATTTTATTTAAGAGACCCATATCCTGTTTTCTGGGTCAGACAGGTTCATCTCACAATGAACAACTATCTGCTAATGATAAATATGAATGCTTGAAAACAATATCCGAAGATTAATGCTAAATAAAAGCATAACAGAAGCTAAGAAAGACCAGGGCAGAGGAGAATCAAGAAAACAATGAGCAGTTAAAACTCCAAATTCACCCTCAAAATCAATTCTAAGTATCTTCTGGAGGAAAAAAAAGAAACTTCATTGTATGTCTGAAAATACATAGTGATAGCCCATGGTCCTTGAAGAGGAAATCCCACCGTCACAAAGAAACAGGTTAGGTGCTACTGATCAGTAGAAGCTACTGAGATATTCTTCTGTTATGATTGGTCTTAATGATAGTAAGAGAGACAGGATTTCCCCTTGGACTGAAGGGAGGAATTTTATTTCTGATACCATGAACTGTTGACCTTTGCAAAAGATCTCAAGGATCTGATGAGGTCCAGGATAAAGAGCCAGCTTGCCATAGTGAACAGGACCTCAGATGAGAACAAGAAAGATTCAGAACCTTGAGCTGTGACATTCCCTGGATGACCTTGGCCCAGTCATTACATTCCAGCCTAAACTGTCTCATGGAGTTACAGAAGGATTGAATGGGGATGTTGGACAGGAATGCCATCCTCCAGGTAGGACTTGGGGATCCCCCAGAATTACAACTCATCTTCTGACTAGGGAGATCAGTTCCCCTGTAGAAAAATGGATGTTTGAAGGGTGGGCTCTATGGCATTGTACCCCACTGAGTTCCGTGTCCTCCCCAGGCTCCATCCCCAAATCTCCAGGAATTCCCCAACCTGGCTCTGGCAACCCCACCAGCATCTCCCGCTGGTGGCCAGGGGGGACCTGGCAACCCTAGAGTTGGACCATATACATGAAAATTCTTTGTAGAAATGATGTCAGTGTTTTTCTGCAATAAATCTGAAGGAAAGAAAAGAGAAGAAGAAGAGATTGGATTTATACCCCTCCCTTTAGTTGGAGTCTCAGAGTGGCTTACAAACTCCTTTCCCTTCCCCTCCCCACAACAGGCACCCTATGAGGTAGGTGGGGCTGAGAGAGCTCTGACTGAAACTGCTCTTTTTCAAGAACAGCTCCAACAGAACTAGGGCTTGCCCAAAGTCATCCAGCAGCTGCAAGTGGAGAAAGAACAGCGTTCATTCCCAACCATCATCTCCCAGTTAAACATCTTCAAGTAGCTAGTTTTGATGAGCTTTCTATGTCTGAGAACCTGGAGAATCATTACTAGTCAGAGTAGACAGTACTGATCTATCTACACCAACATGCTGACTCACCATAAGGCATTCATTCCATTTCGAAAGACCAAAATGCCTGGAGCTTTACAATGGAGTGGAGCCAACCAACCTTTCCATTGGTGAAAAAGAGGCTAGAGGGTCCCTTTTGGCCACCAAAAAGGCTATACTGGGGATCATGGATCTGAATGGACAAAAGTCATGTGGGATGAGGGCTACTATTAGGAGGGTAGGTTACATGAAACTAAGCGGGAAAGCTAGGTGGAACCAACCCAGTGAGAACTTGCTGCATCAAAACATGGTGGTGCTGCTGTGGGCAGACCCAAAAACCAGGGCATCCCCATGATGCAGAGAGACAGTCTAAACAGTAGGTGATCCTATATCCTTCAGTCTAAAGAGCCTTCCCCCAACTTAAATTGTTCTTCTGTTGGAGGAAGAGTCTCCTCAGAAGGCACCTTTGCTTAATGGAATGGCTGGATACAGGTCAGTATGCCTACAGCCAAACCAGCAACGAGTCCTCTAGTATCTTAAAGACTAACGAATGTACTGTGGCATAAATTTGTATGGATTGGAGAATCTGATGATGGGATGAACTCTATGAAGTTCTATGACACAATAAATCTGTTAGTCATTAAGGTGCCATGAGATTCCAGGTACTTGTTTGCTTTGTTTATCAGAACTAAAAGCAACCAAGGGAAATTCCAGTCAGGTAAAAGGTTCAGTCAGGTAAGACCATTTACTCCATAACCACCCTGTTCCTCAGACTGATAATCACTCCCTCCCCATGATTTCCCCCCCAGCTATATGTCTGGAGATCCAAACACAGAGACCCAGTGTACAGATGAATGATCCCCATTCAGTCTCTTTTTTATATTTGTTCATATTTTTGTCAATGATTTTGGATCTTTGCCTTTGGCTGTGAGTTTTGTAGCTCTGTTCATAGTTTTTTATAGCATCTATTCACAATTTATATGGCCCTGATATCACAACATAATTGTTTATACATATAATATGTGCCGGGTATTACTGTATTACTACACAACTAAAGTTGAAAAATGCATGTTTTATGATTAAAAATTGATGCCTAAAAACAAAACAGCACATAAAAGTAAGAAAAGTTCTATTCACTCAGGGGAAAAGCAAAGTTGAAATGAGGATTTGGGGGCCAAAACTGATATGTGACCCCCCAAAAAAAGAAAAATGTTCCTAGTCTTATCAAAATGTTTACGGTTTTATCTGAATTTTTAAAATATATATATTTCACCTGAGAGAATATCCTCTACATTTCTAGAAAATCTTGCTTCTGGTGGAATTTGATCCAGTTCTAAAGACAAGTTCTTGGGAGTAAGTCCCACTTAAGTAAGATTCTAAGTAGAGCTGTTTAGGATTAATCTGATAATTGTCAATTGAGATTGAAATGTGGGGTCAGGCCGCACCTGGAGTATTGTGTGCAGTTCTGGAGGCCTCACTTCAAAAAGGATGTGGAGAGAATGGAGCGGGTGCAGGGGAGAGCGATGAGGATGACTGGAGACCAAGACCCATAAGGAAAGGCTGAGAGGGACTTGGGAATGTTTATTCTGGAGAAGAGTAGGCTGAGGGGGGACATGACTGCTCTCTTGAAGTATCTGAAGGACTGTCAGTTAGAGGAGGGCAGGGAACTGTTCCTTTTGGCAGCAGAGGATAGGACTCCCAATAATGGGTTTAAATTAAGAGCGGGAATGTACCAGCTGGGTATTAGGGAAAACTTTTACAGTGAGAGTTGTGCAACAGTGGAATCAGCTCCCTCTGGAGGTGCTGAGCTCCCCCTCTCTGACAGTCTTTAAGCAGCAATGGACAAACACTTGTCAGGGATGCTCTAGGCTGATCCTGCATTGAGCAAGGGGTTGGACTAGATGGCCTGTATGGTCCCTTCCAACTCTGTGATTCTATGACTGGCTACAGCCCCAAAATGTGGGGCTATTATGATCATATAGGGCAATATCAAAAAAGAAGCTCTTCCCCTGACAGTTTTTTTAGGCATTATGCCGACCAGGGGTGAAAGGGTTCACACAGTTTGAGAAGGGCAGCCCTTCCAGAAGGTGCCACTTGCCCACCAAGTCATTGGCATGTAGCCAGACCCGATTGGTGATTGTAATGTCTGATACGGAGGAATCCAACTCAGGTTTTGAAACAATGTAGAAGTACAGGACTTGATCTGGATAGCACAGGCTAGCTCAGTCTTATCAGATCTCAGAAGCTAAGCAGGGTCAGCCGTGGTTAATGTTTGGATGGGAGATCATCAAGAAATACCAGGGTTGCTACACAGAGGTAGGCAATGGCAAAACACTTTGAGTCATCTCTTACCTTGAAAACCCTATGGGGTCACCATGAGTCAGCTGCAACTTGATAGCACAAACAGGCATAAACACAGTGAAATATGTCTCTCTTTATTTGAGAGGTACACTTTTGGATAAGAAAGAGTAGGGATAGGATAGAGTACTAACTTACTAACTAACCATGGAAGCAGATGGTGAGAGGGCCATCTGCCTCATGGTGCCAAGAGAGGACAGCATGTCGTCCATCTTTGTGGGTTCAGGGAGAAGGAGGAGTTTCATTTGAGAGAGTGAACAGAAGGAAGGAGATTGTCCCTGAGAACACAGTCTGCATTTCAAGGAAACTAAAACTAAACAACAATGGGGTCAAATAAATGGTCAGACCAGAACATTTCCAATGACTGTTCTGAAAGTCAAAAAATGTTTTATGGGAAAGAAAAGATTAATCCCAAGATAAATTTAATGGAAAATGTTCTTTTTTACTGAACCTTGGATAAGAAGTAGTAGTTTTATATCCTGTTTTCTATACCTTAAGGGTCCCAAAGCAGCATACGATTGCCTTCCTTTCCTCTCGTCACAACAGGTACCTTTGTGAGGCAGGTGAAGCTGACAGAGTTCTGAGAGAAACTGTGACTGACCCAAGGTCACCCAGCAGACTTCATATGGAGAACCAAACCAAACCCGGTTCTTCAGATTAGAGTCCACAGCTCTTAACCACTTTACCACACTGGCTGGCTGGATAAATATTGTATAAATCACTGAATGGGTTAAAGATTAGTTACCGCATGTATTTAAGATTTTTAAATGCAATGTGTTTCCTTAGAATATGCAATGTATGCAAAAATATATACATGTTTATAAGTAAATATCTACAGTGCTTTTTGTAAATATTTTTAAAAGATTTTAAAAATTGTTTTGCTTATATTCATTGCATTTCCATTATTGATGAGAACCAATATTGTTCTGGTTTGATTTTCACTAATACATGTCTAATTTCAAACATCTGTTATTAACTCAATAGTTGGGCATGACAGAAGGAAAGTTACATCTATCTTAACTCTATAAGAAGGAAAGCTAAATCTATCTGACCGGGGGGAAGGGGGGGGTTGTGGCTCAATGGTAGAGCATCTGCTTGCCCTGCAGAAGATTCCAGGTTCAATCCCTGGTATCTCCAGTTAAAAGATCTGGAAGTAGGTGATGTGAAAGACATCTCCCTGAGACTCTGGAGAGGTGCTGCCAGTTGGAGTAGACAGTACTGACTTTGATGGACCAAGGGTCTGAGTCAGTATGAGGAAGTTTCATATGTTCCTTTAAAGACTTTTAACACCGGAATCCTCTGTCTCTATCAACACCAGACAACTGCCTCATGAGTCTAACAGTAGAACTGGTCGTAAATTTTAGTTTACACATGGGGTCTATGCTTTAGCAGTCTTGGCCTCAATGTCATGGCAAACTCTATTGTCATCCAAAACAACATTAAATCATGAAAAGCCTGGAACTCCTTTTGCCTCAGAAAATGTGCTACAGCCTCTCATTTCGCACTCATTTGCCATTCATCGTTCAGCAGCTAATTATCATGAATTCCTCTGGTATTCATTGTAATAGCGCTAATTATAATGAAATTGTTTGGTATTCGCTATAATAGCGCCAATCATAAAGCATTCATTTGACATTTATGAGGGCATCACGTGTGTTTCCTCAGCTTACCAGCATAATTTAGCATCTGTAAAGCATTACTTAATAGAAGCATGAAGTCAAGCATTGCTCACTGTTTTTTTGGGGGAAAACCCTGAGAAAAACGATGTACCTGCTATCAGAACTGGAATGGAAAAATCCCAGCAAATTATTTGGGAGTTAATTAGCTAGTCGACTTATCTGAATTAATAGCAAGGCTGGGGGGTGAAAAAACTTTTGGGGATTAACAGCCAACAATAAACAAGATCTAAAAAGTCATGTAACGCTAATGCTTTTAAGGATTTGATTCCACTTGTCCAGTGAATTCTAAGCATGCTTTTAAGAATGTGATACTGTGTGAATGTTTTGTATTATAACAGAACATATTTCCCTTGGTAACAGTTCAGGACTGCAACCAAGAACCACCCTCACCTCAATAAATACTGGACAATATAAGAATATTAGATGGGCAAATTTGGCAGTATCACAGATGCAACACTGAATAGCAATGCCACTATGCATTAGCCGTAGCATAGTTCAAGGAGGCTTACAAAAATAGCCCTGGCGATTATTTCAAATTTCACAATGGCATCAAGGTGAAAGAGCTACTTTGATTTTGCTTCTTCTCATTCCAGTTGAACCTATGATTCTTTTTTCTGTGTCGTTTACTGTTTTCTACTTTTATTTTATCTTTTTAAAAAAATTTTGTAAGCCTCATTCATTCTTAAGTAAAGTTTACCATTTCACTCCCCCAGTTTCCCCAAGGACACCATCAGTAGCTAGTCGTTATTAAATTTGTAAATGCCAGCTGCAAAGGCAAAAGCTTTCCTTCCCAAATGTTTGATTACTGGGTAGCTTATTTGGTTGCTCCCACCTTCTGGGCCTTCGTTTTTGAATGTTCAGATGTACCCTGAGCTGACGTGGGTACTTTGTCTTTCTGTTTGATTCTGTGTTTTGTTTCTTTATTTCATTTCATCCCATTCTTCCTCCAAAGAGCTTGCCATGAACTGCATAATTCCCCCCTGCCTTTTTACCTTCACAAGAACCCTGTGAGGTAAGTGAGGCTGAGAGTATGTGATGGGCCCAAGGTCTCGCAGTGTTTCTGTGGCAGAGGTGGGATTCATACCTGAACCTCTCTGGTCCTAGCCCAACACTGTAACCACTATAAACCATTGACTTTCATACAGAAGCTAGATGGCCATCTGTCAGTAATGTGGATTCTGGGAACTTAGGCAGATCATGAGAGGGAGGGCAGGAAGGGTTGCCTCAGTGCTTAGTTCCTGTGACCCTTCTTACATGCCCAGGGAAATGCTGATCACCCACTTTGGGGTCAAGCCAATTTGGCTGGAGATCCTGGAGGCTCCCCCACCCACTTCTGGGCATAGAGCAGGGGTCACAGGGGGGGTGGGTGGGAGGTATTTGTGAATTTCCTGCATTGTGCAGGGGGTTGGACTAGATGGCCTTGGAGGTCCCTTCCAACTCTATGATTCTATGATATGTTGTAACTGTTACTGAACTTGGTCCATTTCTTTGTTGTTATCATTGGTGATCACCCTTTTCTTTCCGTTACTGTGTTTTGTTGATGTTTTATGCCAATTATTCCCAATGCAACAGAAATAACATTACAAAATGTGTACATTTTAATAGGGGGGGGGGAGATTGATATCAGGAAACAGAAAACAGTGGAAAGCTAAAGATTCAGGGATTCGTTTCTCACAGCAGGGAAAGGAAATCTAAATGGGGCCATCGAATTGAACCTGCCAGCTTGCACAATCCAGCCCCACCCCTAGTTTGCCTCCAAGTACTGCGCTATTTATTTATTTATTTATTTTTGACCATTTTACCCCGCCCTCCCCGCAAGCGGGCTCAGGGCGGCTTACAAGGGGCAGAGCCCACATAAAACATAGTAAAAGCAATAAAACTATTAGATAACACAGATAAAAATAAAGTGCTCCATGAAGACAAGATGTTCCTCGAATAAATCGCTTGATGGTAACAGTCAGTTATTTGGGGGTGATATTATCCTGTAGTTGGTCCCAAGTAAGTCCGGTGGTACCAGTGCCATGTGGTGTTATAAGCGGTCTTCCTGGGGCTGTCCCTAGCCTCGTTGTTAACCACAGCGTTGGTGGTGGTGGCAGTGGCAGTGGTGGCCCCTATGCGAAAGCCTGGCAGAAGAGCTCCATCTTGCAGGCCCTGCAGAACTGCATAAGGTCCCGCAGGGCCCTGATCTCCTCCGGGAGCTTGTTCCACCAGGTAGGGGCCACCACCGAAAAGGAACTGGCCCTGGTCGCAGCAAGCCTTGCCTCCCATGGGCCTGGAATCACCGGGCGATGTTGTGTCCCCGACCGAAGTGCTCTTGGGGTATATATGGGGAAAGGCAGTCCCTCAGGTAGATCGGACCCTGGCCATGTAGGGCTTTAAAGGCAAGCACCAGCACTTTGAAATGGATTCGGTATGCTATTGGCAGCCAGTGCAGCGCTTCCAGCCGAGGCCGGATGTGCTCCCACTTGGGGAGACCCAACATAAGCCTGGCCACCGCATTCTGCACCAGCTGCAGCCTCCGAATCTGTGCCAAAGGCAGCCCCATGTAGAGAGTGTTACAGTAGTCTAGCCTCAAGGTGACCGTTGCATGGATCACTGTAGCCAGGTCATCATGGTCGAGGAAGGGGACCAACTGCCGAACCAGCCTAAGATGATAAAATGCTGATCTGGCAGTGACATCTATCAGAAGCCATCAGAAGACATCTGGAAAACATAAGTATATAAATATAAATATTGATGAAATATGGCACCTCCGACTTCCTTCTGCTCTCCTGATTTCCTGCAGATATTTACTTCCTGATTCCTGTGCAAAGTTCTTCACTATCTTTAACACACTATATATTTCGATATTTATTTATGAAAACTCAGCCCAGTGGCATTCAAGAAAAGCTGAGGTATAGGAGCACCAATCCCTAATTAGGACATCACACTGTTGTCACTTGAAAATGCAGACATTAAGATAAGAATAGCAGCCCAGAAAGAAGGCAGGGCAGGAAAGCAAACTGCATTAAAAGGCAATGTGTACAGAAAGTTTTTACCCTGCTCCCCTTTTGGAAAGCCCAACAGATGGAACAAATGAACTTCATGGAGAAAGACATTCCAGAGTTGTGGGGCAACCAATGAAACAGCCCTGCTATATATAGAGCCCAACCATGTGAGTTGTGTCAGTATTATTCGCTGTCTGTAGAAGAAGGGTTAGAGTGAAGGAGTCCTCTGCTCTCAAATGTTATTCTTAGCTCTCTTGAGGTTGTCCTTGTTGATTTCTGCTAGCCCCACAGAACCTACAAGGCTCAGACCATCATGCTCAGGCTAATGGCCAATAATACTCATGACCTTGAAGATGGGACTGAAGACAAGAACATTTGAATGAGTGCTAGAATTACTACAGAAATTTCAAGTCATATCCTCATTAAGATTTCCTTATTGCTTATGTCTGTGTTTCTTGTTGCTGCTAAGCATTAACTTATTATGATTTCATTTGTAATCCACCTTTCTCTTGTGGAAGCTGTATAATTGGGGAGCCTGGCTCAGAGCTAAGTTACCATCAACATCTCTGTGGGGAAAAAATAGTGTTCCATACTGATTGATCCTACAAGTACTATTTGGCCATGGATACATAGAGGAATCCACTGCTAAAGAAGACCATGTTTCATGACCATTGCTCTGTCCAATAATATACTTTGGCTGCTGATGGCCCTGTTTTTTGGTTGGAATTATATCTTACTTTGATCATTGTTTTATATTTATGGGCAGAGGCCCAGGATTTTGTTGGGGGTTCAGAGGGGCCACTGAATGTGTTTGAATTTCAGGGGTTTGGGGGCATCCGAAACCAGTGGTCCTGGGGAAAGGGAAATACCATATAAAAGGTGTGCCAATTATGGTGAAGTCATGTCATAAAAGTCATGTCTGTCCTTCCTTCTGCTTCCTCCTCCAACCTTTTATATCCATTAACTCATGTGATGTCCTGCTGGATCAGACCAGTGGTCCAGCTAGTCCAACATCCAGTCTCATGCATTGGCTAACCAGTTCCTCTGGAAGTCTAATAACAGGGCATAGAGGTCAAGACCTTACCCGATGTTGCCCCCTGTCACTGGGATTCAGAGGCTGACTGCTTCTGAATGTCGAGGTTCCCTTCAGTCACCATGGCTAGTAGCCAGCCACCGATAGACCTTTTTGAGTACTAGGTCAGTTAAATCTAAAACAACTTACATCCATGATTTGATGAGAAAGACTAGCTGGACAAGGTGGGAGAAGTAAGACTCTGCAGTCAAGGTCTGGTGGTTGAGAAGAAAGACTTGCCATGGTAAGTTAGGGAAGCATCTCCATATCATGGTGTTTTGTCAGACAAAGTCCTAGTTGGAATGTTTGTACCTGATGCTGGTGCACTTGGGAAAGATCAGTTATTCTGTTAGTGTACCATCTTCTTGCTGCTCCTTAGCTGAACTGAGGTGGACTTGT